TCCTAGAATGGCCAGCACAGCCGCCAGACCTCAACCCAATAGAGCACTTGTGGCAACATTTGAAGCGGAGGCTGGCGAGGCACGAGAATGAGCCCGTCAGCATCGACGAGGTCTGGCAGCGGGTCAAGACTGAGTGGGACGCCATTCCAGTCCAAATATGCTTGGATTTGATCGAAAGCATGCCTAGAATGGTTCAGGATGTGTTGAAGGCCAAAAGGCAAGCACACAAAGTATTAATAAATCCGTTTTTTCGTATGCCTGAGTGAAAGGGACAAAACTGTTGCAATGACCTCGTTCGCTTTGAACAACTGCCACTTAGACAATGGGAATCCAATTGACATGTGACTAGCGCCAATCGAAAGCCAGGAAGTAGGAGTGTGATTAACTGAAATTTAAGCTAAATTAAACACGTCATACTCGAGATATGAGTCATAAACTGGCAATGTGTCGAAGATTGCAACAGTTTTGTCCCTCACTGTATGTGAAAGTCACTCTTCATCAGGCTAATTTCTTAATTCTTTCTTAGATTCCATAGTTTCCTTAAATGGCCCAGACTCGATCTACTTTAGTCTCTCCTTCCTAAAGAGTGACCCCAAACCAGCCGTATTTTTTCAAAGTACGAAAAGGGAGTTCCATTCTCGAAGCATGGAAAAGCTAACTCAACGCAATTAGCCGAGAATACCGAAGTGGAAATGGGACATGGCTTAAGGGAATCCTGTATAACGACATGATTATTACTCACACTTTCCTTCGCCCTTCTAATACTTTCATGTCTACATCTTGTCTTATTCATATTCGCATTTCATTCCCGCGTTTAACTGTTTCATGTTCTCATTTGAACAAGGAAATCAAATGAGGCTCTATCCTTGGCTTACTCGGCCAATTAAGCTTATAAGATTCAATCCCATGATATTCGAAACATTTGGTCGAGGACGATCACATCTCTCTCTCTCTCTCCCCCATCTATATATATATAACTATAAGAACTATTCCGGAGAGGACGTGCTAAGTTACACCTATTACGAGTTTCTTGAAACTTTTTGACAAGTTCTGCGAAGAAATAGCCTCCAGGAAGCGTGAAATGCAAGCTGGGCGCCATTCTGTTATCCAGAAATGTCTGCATCAGATATTTCTACGTCTCACCATATCGATCGGCCATTGTTCATCCCCGCTTCAATCTCAGCTCAACCCATGAACTAGGCAGGAAAAGGAATAAGAGGAGAGATCGAATTTTGTTTGGGGAAGGGGTTGGAGAAAGGCTTTAGTAACACATATTACCTATTGACGTTTCTGATGATTGTGGAGAATGTGGTACTTTCACTGTTAGGAAGTAACGATTAATCCACTTGCATTCACAACTACACTGGTACGCATTGTCCCATGTCCTTCCATCTAGTCTTTGATCTAAGAAGACATAAGCTTGTAGACCTCGCGGGTTAAGCTAAAGTAGCAAAGGTTTAAGTAACTTAGTTTGGAAATATTCGTGGATTCGAATGGGTTAACGATCCAACTTACAAGTGAGAGATTGACCCCGAAAAGACGAGAAATGACTCGAGATGACAGTAAAAGAAAAGGAACCCAGAATTCTGAGACGCAATGTTCATTCAAACTCAAACACGCCATCATTAAGAGTTAGAATCGAGTGACGTTTCTGCCATTCTTCCAGGTTGAAATTCCTTTAGCCCATGTATCGGGACACAGGCCACTTCTGAGAAACTCTTGAAGGGAAGACTTATCCTCTTTACCTTGTTGCTGAGTGAGGCTATTAAGGGAAATGTCTGAAGGAACTGCCGCATGACATGTTTAGAGACCTGCCATTTTCAGGGTTGTTGGATCGCATTACCTCTCACGAACTTTTACCCCTGTACTTTTATTGTAAATAAGTCATTTTCCACGTCGAAGTCGTCAACAACCTGAAAGACTTCAAAAGACGTTTCATCGTCCGAGTGGTCCTTTATCTCCTTCAGTTTTTACCAAGGTAGCGTAATTACTTTAATAGGCGAAAAAGTACGAAAGAGTTAAAGAAGTGTCACGATATGTTACGGGTGACGACTCTTCATTAACGTAGCGTACTTGAATCTATCTGATTTGTCACTGCTCTTGGGAATTGAAGAGGGAGTTATTTTCGGTCACTGCTCTTCACAAGCTAAACAGTTCAACGGACTGAATGGGCAGTGCGGTACGGCAGCAATCGATGGATTTTGTGTCCCACATCTGCTGCCCAAGATACATAGACTATCAGATAGGCTCGAGTGGCTCACGCGCCTAACGGCCGAGGACGGAGCGCAGTCACTTGAGGCACGTGAATGTGCGTATAGTGACGTCACAGCTGGGATATGATTCGCCTTTAGCTCGCTTCGATAGGGTGGGGGCTTGCCTTGGGGATATATTAATTTTCCCCACCACTTGGTCAAGGTTGATAGGCCAAGAAGTGGAACTTTCAGTTGTTCTCGAACGTATGTGAATGCTTTGGGGGAGAGAGCCCTAAGACACAAATCCTTCACCAATTCGCTATGACCCCACTGTTTTGGCCTCTTTCCTCCCTTGAGAACATGTAATTGTGCAGAAAAAAAATGTCCTTCCAACAATTTTACATAAGCGTTTTCTTTTTTTTTTCGTGATTCGGAGAACTCGGCAAGTTTTTTCTTGAGACATTTCACATCCTTCTTGAGTTTTAGATTTTCTAACCTAACTCTTTGTAATTTTACTTTCAGACCTGATAGAATCCTGATTTTCAATTTCAATTCCTCTCTGATTTCAGGGCAACATTTTGATGGAATTGAGAGATTTGTCGTTTCAGATATCCCCTCACTCTGTCTCATCAATACCTCAATTTGCATTTGATCTTGA